AAAGCATTAAATCTGTCCCATATTGATAAATTTTTTCAAGACTACCCTCAACTCAAATAATGTAGATAGATAAACAGATTTTAATGAGCTTTTTAACATTAAACCTTAATTATTAACAAGGGTAAAATTGAAAAGTAGTGATTAATAAGTTGGTTAATATCTTATATTTAGAACTAAAAATTCCTTCTAAACTATGTCCCATAGCATGTAATTTGACTATTTAGTTCATACCACATTAAAATTCAATGCTTTAAAACGAAAACAAATTTGATATACACGACTTTCATTTTATATATATATATATATATATATATATCACAAAAAGGGTTATTACATGGAATACATGATCTTAATTAGTAATCAAACACGAGGTTGATGAGTATTGTTTGCAGCAACACTAAGGGTATGTTTGGCTCAATGAGAGGAAGGGGAGGGGAGGGATTTTAATGGAGGGAAGGGGAGGGGAGGGGAGTGGAAGGATTTTAATATTATCTTGTTTGGATTTATAAAAAAAGAGGGGGAGGGGAGGGGAAAATATTTTAATATGAACAATTTTGCTCTTATTTTATTTAAGGCATGGACATAATTGTCACAACATGACAAAATATAGACATAATGGTTACAACATGACAAAATATAGGCATAATAGTCATAATATGACAAAATATTGCCTTTTCCCTCCACATTCTCTCAATTTTGGAGGGGAGGTTGAGGAGGGGAGGAGAGGGGAAATTTTAAAAAATTTTCCCTCCCCTCCTAAAATTTGTGTGTTGCCAAACAAGGGGAAATGATTAAAATCCCTCCCCTCCCCTCCCCTCCCTCCCAAATCCCTCATACCAAACACACCCTAAGAGGAGCAACCGTGGACTCAAGTGATTGAGGAGGATTCCAAGGATAGCATAGTCCCTGAGATGTGCAAGGACCAGTTTCATATATTATCCAACCACATAAATGGCATTCGTCTCGAGTCTCTACATATATATATCAAAGTAATAACGACGAGTTAGGGATGGCCACCAGAAGCTGCAGAAATACAAGGTGCTCTTGAATGGATCTTCTTTGATATCAGAAGAAAATTCTTCTCCGTGCTTGAGATGGATCTCTCCAAGATCATACACCCTATCTTTGCAATGAAGCGTCAAGTCCCGGTTTTGATACAAGTCGTTGATGATTTGCACTGTTATATCGCCCTTGCCTGCTTTCAACATTGAAACAACCATGGCAAACAGCAAAAGCAAAGATTTCTTCAAACATGCAGCCATTTCTATATACTCTATCTTTTGTGTTTCTTAAGAATACATACCATATATAGCTAGGCCTCCCTTACCAGTTACTATAGGATCAAATTTGAGTTGGTTTCATAAGCAGCATTTATTATGGCAATAATGACATTAACTTCCCTGGAGAAATCTTTATTATTGACAATCAATGCCTTGAGAGTATAATTGGTATACCGTTCTATCCCTTATTATAAGTCACATGTATCCTAAACCCTCAAACCAAGAAATACATTAAATTAATTAATCATTTTTTTCATATTTATTCTTATTAAAAGTTGATAGAGAGAGAGGGGGGAGGGGATGGATTGTATAGGAAATGAAAAGTTGAGAGAGATTAATTAATTTTTTTATTAAATTAATAGGAGTAAAATTAGAAAAAGATCATTAATTATGCTACAAGTGACTTATATTTTGAAATAAACTTTTGGGGTTACAAGTGACCTATAATAAGGAACAGAGTGGTATATTATTGCATTCATTGTAATCCTTCGGTGTACAATATAAGTCATTTTTTCTAATTCATTAATTGTAAAAAATGATAATTAACTTATTAAATCTGTCCCTATTTGAAATTCGTCTTTTTTTTTTTTTAAACTTTACTTATATTAAACGAAGTTGTGAGGAAGAGAAAAACACAAACAGTTACATTATTTAATTATTAATTACAGAAAAAATTAACAAATAAGCGTTAATTACTTACCAAGTGATTTGTATTTTGTAGCAAGTTATTCTTCTAGAAGCAACTTATATTATGTACCAGAGAGAGTATGTGATTTTTTTTCCCCAAAATATTATATCTGATTTTAATTCCTCAAATTTAGTTGCAAGGTTGACCTCTTTATTCATGCATTATCTAAAAGAAAATAATTCTATCCGGACCTATACGCTATATATTGTCTTCTTATCTTATTTATACATTCATATAATTTTTTTTTCCTCTTCCCTCTATTTAATCGGATCAAAAAATTTCTTCTCTCTACTCAATAAATAGGACTAAGGGAGTATGCACACACAAGGTATTTTCTAGAAAGTATTTGTAGTTTTTTTAATACCACATTAAATTAGGATAGCGACGGAGGATTAAAAAGATAAGTATAATAATATTACTATAGAAATGTTTTGATTAAAAAATGTTAAAAGTGCAGCAATAGTTGAATATAATGATTAATCCATCGAACGATTTGCCACTTCTAAAAATAATAATTCAAAAATTTATAAAATGGTTTACCACAAAGAGGTGTTCAATAAGGTCTGCTCATCTGCGGCATGCACATGGTTTGATCGCCATAATCAAACCGGTTTGACTCGTTCATTCATGTTGAGGCGGTTTTACTTATTTCAATATTTATGTTTCTTTTATTATTCATTAGTTGAGTCTATTTTACTCAATCAGATTAGTGTAAGTGAAAATAGTTAACTTAATACATTATTAAAAAAATAGTTAACTTAATTTGAAAGTGATGCCGCGTTATTATTATTTTATTTGATTACTGGTTATTGATATCGACTAGAAGTCGCCATAGGAAATTCAGAAATTCTCAAATTAAGTATATTTTTCTAAAAATATTAGTAAACAACAAGATAATGACAACTATTGTTATATTTTTATAAATATTAATGATTCAAAGTTTCTCACGAAGGAGAAAATTTTAAATGAAAGATAAGACTATTATAATGAAAAAAAATATTGTACATAATTCAGTGATGAAATTAAATTTTAAAAATTGACAACATATCTTTCATGTTCTTTTAAAACAATAATAAATATATTCTACATATTCCTTCATCTTTAATATGAAACTTATTTAACTAATTTGATTATATGAAAAAAGTTAGATAAGTTAATTAATTATAAAAAATATGATTTTTTTTAAAACACTATAATTATTTTTTTTAATATACTCTCTATTTCCTACTTAATTATGCTTGAAAGAATATTTATATAAATAATTTAAAAAATTGATAAATATAAGAAATAGATCTTACATTTAAAACAAAAAATTAACTCAACAATTAGGTTATATATCAAGGACCGGAGGATTATTAATTTTAATGTCTTGTAATATATTAATTAATTATAAAAATTAGCTGTTATTATTTTTACTAAAAAAATATAAGTGTTTTTTATGTGTCATTTTCTTAAATTTTTTTATGCAGTGATATGAGATCTAGTAATATTATAAGACATATTTGAGCATTGACTATTGATGGCCCTAATTAAAAGCATCTCTTTCAAGTATGTTTTTTTTATATTTAGAAGAATTTAAGTTCACATTTCATATTTAAGAATTTTATAATTCATTCCAATAGACCCAATTCTTTTTTCCCCCTTAATTTTAATATCTATCCAATGAAAGGCTATTTTATTTGGGGTCAAATTAAAAAATCTTTCATCTACCTCAGTCAAACAAAGTAAGGGAGGAAAAAAAAAAAAAAAGGCGACGTACGTGCCTCCCCAACTACTCCCGCGAGAATCGCAAACGCGTTTGGCTCGCTTCTGACGCGCCACGATGCTGCGTTTCTCAGCGTCCCACGCATCGCTTCATTAAAATTTTTTTCAAATAAACAAGGCCGCCTTTTATCTTTTTCATTTTCACTATAATAATAATAATAACTCTGGCCAAAAAATAAGAGTATAATATTAACAATAAAGTAGGCGGCTTTAAATTCTAATTCCAATTGGATAAGAAAGAGACAGCCTCACCAATTCTACTCTCTTTAATCGCCACCATACACGTGTCCCTTCTTTCCTCTCATCTCACACGTGTCTCTACTTCAGCCCCATTCGAAGGGACTAATCCGAAGGCCTTAGTTTACACCAATCACAGCTTTCCGTTTGTCACTCTCTAGATCTTTTCACTTAGATCATGCTTCGTAATCAATCGACCCAATCTCCCAGAAATACCCTTCCTGCAAACCAATTATTACTCTCCTCACCTTCCAAAACTTGCTTCATTTCGGAGTGTATTTGTCTTTTCGACTTATAACCCGGGACCCCAAAGTTATCTTGTGCGAGAAAAAATAAAATAATATTAATAAATATCTTTCTGAATTTTTTTTTAAACAAATACTTAAAAAATTGTTTTCTTCTTCGTGGCCTCCCCCTTTTTTTCAGAGCCTGGTTTCACACGTCTCTTTCTTCTTTCTTCTTTCTTCCTTGATTGCTTCGCTTCGATTCATTGCCTTTGATTGATTGAGAATTGAATTGAATGCCTCTTCTCTGTGCTTGTGACTTAGCCTCTGTGTTGCTTAATTAACCCTTTTGGCCTTCGTTTCCATCCACGTCCACTGCTCACTTGAACCAGATCCACTTCCTCGCTTCGTCTTCTTCGTTTGGAGTTTCTATTTAGCTCGAGAGTTGCATCTCTCTTTTCTTCTGGTTCCGATTCACTGGAACTTTTGAACCTTTTTCTCTTTACCAAAACCCCTCCACATTACAGATCCTTTCATTCTTCGTTGCTCCGATTGAATTGTTCGCCATAGATACAGACTTGTTCAATCTCATCAACAAAACTTATTCCTGACATCGTTGACTGTACAGTCGGTGTTTCTTGGAGTAGTAGAAAAACTTCTGATTTTTTCTTTTCTGCTTAGCCACCAAATCTGGTCTTGGTGGTATTTTTTTTATTTATTTATTTTCAATCGAGCATAGGAATGTTGGGTACTGGAATACAGTTTGGGCATGCCCGCGGAGAGGACCGATTTTATGATGCGGTGAAGGCGCGGCGGTCCTCGCATAGCTTGGAAAGTGATAAGTTCCGTAGAGCGCATAGTGACGTTACCGACCGCGCGTCGTCGTCCATCGCATTTGTTTAAAGAGAGAGCAGTGGATTCAGTAAATGGAGAACCTGAGAGCCGGCTAGGATCTGAAGAGCCCAAGAAGCCTGCTGCTGTGCCATCTGCTACCAAACCCGCGTTGAAGCGATTGAGTAATCTTGAGCGGTTCTTGCTGGCGATCACGCCTTCTGTGCCTGCTCAGTATCCATCTAAGGTCTGTTTGTTCAGTTGCCTTTGTGTATAATCAGTTTGATAATATGGTTTACATTTTCTTTGTTATAATTTGTTGGTTTATCCCTATCAAAGTTGTTGGAACTGGGCGAGTAAATAAAGATAATGCATTTTATTTCTTTTTTAGTAATTTTACTTGGTTTATGGATTCATTAAAACTATTATGTGACTTTTCGCTTTTGTTTGCAACGGATTAATCATTGGGTAATGTATTTGTGTGGTTGTAGTAATGAATAGCTCCTTGCTATACGTTTTAACTGTGAATTGACTTTTGCAGACGGACATTAGAGGTTTTGGAACTTGTGGCGGGGAATTTCAGCCTTATTTTGTTCTTGGCGATTTGTGGGAATCATTCAGGGAGTGGAGTGCTTATGGTGCGGGAGTGCCTCTTGTACTAAATGACAATGATAGTGTCGTTCAATACTATGTTCCTTATCTCTCTGGAATTCAAATATATACTGATATTCCGAAGCACTCTGCTAAATCAAGGTATAAGGCTTGTTTTGATGATTTTAGATGTGAAAGTCTAGGCTGAAACATTGCAACTTGGACGGCACTTGGTGTGAAAATATGCAACGGGATATTTCTAAAAGTTTAGCTAGTCTTTTAAACTTTTTGAAATGGATGAAATTACATGCCTTTTCTTCTTTGCTGTGTTTTGGAAAAATGAAAAATAGCCTGGTGAAGTGGGGAGGTTCAAGTTCACCACTTTAGGGGTTCCTCAATTTCAGAGGATCCCCATCCGTTCTTGTTGTGGTGGTGTCTTTCTCCCCTTCTTTTTTGCAGCACGCTTTCATGCTTTTGGCTGCATATTATCGTCTCCCTGATTCTGACTATCACGAGAACTAAAAGCAGTCCAATTGAATGCTGCAAATGTAGTGTTAACCATACGCCATGCTCCAGTAATTATAAATATCGAATACGCTTTGCTAAACGGGTATTAGAACCATATATCTCCGATGATACTTATGTCTCTTGCTTGATGAGATAGAATGGTTTATTGCTCCCCCTACTTTGCTTTATGCTATATTGGATGCTTGCTTATGGTTAAAATTCTATTTCTTGTCTTCTGATTTGAAGAAACAATTGAGTTTAGTTCTCATACGTATGACGTGTGAGTACAATTGGAAAATGGTGGTAAGCATTGTACTGATTTTGGATCTTTCATTGCAACGTTTGTGGACTTCTTGCTGGATTAGTACAATGCTCAATGCTCAATGTTCAATTTTTGACTTGTTTTTTACCAATCATTTTGATTGCCGGGAATTCGGGTCATGATGGTGATAGTGCTTTATTGTTTGTGTGGGTTAGTGAACTTCAGTAGCATGCTTTCTCTTTCTCAGATGATTTTCATTCATTCAGTTCTCTTGCATATTAATTGTATGATTGTTCCTCTTATAGGCAACTTGGTGAGGACAGTGACAGCGATTTTAGGGACTCAAGCAGTGATGCTAGCAGTGATTATGAACCTGCAAGAGGATTGAAATACACGGGGGAGGACAGGAATCTTCATCTGTCAGAGGAGGTGCACCATAGGATGGGCAGATTGTCCATGAAAGATCACCATACTGTCACTCAAGATGGTTTTTCTAGTGACGATGGAGAATCTGTTAATTCCCAAGGCTGCTTGATTTTTGAGTATCTTGAACGGGACCCTCCTTACAGCCGTGAACCTTTGGCTGATAAGGTTTGTTTGCACTTTCCTCCCCTTCCCTTGCCTTTCTCTGCAGTTTACTGGAACAAAGTTATCATATCTCATCACTGGCCCTTTGTGTAGCCTTTTGATTAGACTGTTTTATGTTGGTACAGATATGGGACCTTGCTTTTCGTTTCCCTGAGCTGAAGACACTCAGAAGTTGTGACATACTCTCTTCAAGCTGGATATCTATAGCCTGGTATGCTCTATTTATACCTATGCTTTTAGCAATCAACTTCAAGAGGCACAAGTGGCTGACCATGTTATGTTTTACTTGCAGGTATCCAATTTATAGGATACCAACCGGACCAACATTGAAGGATCTTGATGCATGCTTTCTGACGTATCATTCTCTTCATACACCCACGGAAGGTAGGGGGATTTTGACTTTATTTCTGTTTAAGCTCTTACGGTGATTGGTCTGTCTATGGCAACCAGTATTGTGTGTTTGTGATAGTTCATTTTCTGTTTAGGGAGAGACTGATTACAGTTTTTTTTTTTTTTTCAGGTTCACAAAGATCACAAGCTCCCATCATGACACGACGTGGTGAAATTGATGGTGGGCTTAAATTATCTTTGCCTGTATTTGGCCTTGCTTCATATAAGTTCAAGGGTTCCCTCTGGATTCCTAATGGTGGAAATGATCGCCAATTAGCTAGCTCTCTACTACAGTTTGCGGACGAATGGTTAAGGCTGCTTCACGTCAGTCACCCAGATTTCCTGTTTTTTCAGCCGTCGATGATCTTGAGGTGGCAGTGGCATTTCAGCCTTCTCCATCTAAGATTTGGTCTTG